AAAAAAAGGAGAAAAAAAGGAGAAAAAAAGGAGAAAAAAAGGAGAAAAAAAGGAGAAAAAAAGGAGAAAAAAAGGAGAAAAAAAGGAGAAAAAAAAGGAGAAAAAAAAGGAGAAAAAAAAGGAGAAAAAGGAGAAACTGTAGTGGGTTGTGGAAGGCCAGGGGCACGTACCTCATCCTGGGTCTGGCCCCTGGTCAGCAGGTTCCTGCAGGTCAGGGGGACGTCGTTGATCTCCACCTCTGCCACCACGAGGTCATCTTTGCTTTTACTCGTGGCTGGACCTTTCCCCAGAGCCTGCAGCTTCAAAAAAAGCAATTGCAACGTGGGTGAAAGCAGGAAAACAAATTGGGAGGGTGAACATCCTTCTTATGTCACCCTGTTTTATTTTAAATTCCTCCTAGAAGTTCCTACGCCTTCTGATGTTTACGTATGTCAAATGAGTTTTCTCACACTGTTTGAAATAATTACAAAATAATAATAAAATAATGATTTTTAAAATATTTTTCATTGTAAGTGGAGAGAATTGATGGGCTGTTGGTTTGAGAGGTGGTGATTTCTCCTCCAAGCCACTGTCATTTTTACTATAATATATATATAATATACATATATTTTATATAGATTATATATATTTTATATATATTATAACATACGTATTTATATATTTGTAATATATATTTTTTCTGACTCTCCTACATATATATACAGGAGAATCAAAAAATAAAGTTGATTCTTTTAGCTTTTTTCTTTCCTTTTCCATCCAGCCTGCTTCTGTGAGTTATTTTGTGTCAAAATGGGACATTCTTGTTCACCCCTTTCATTTATTGAAGGTAAAATCCTCAGAGATTATGAAAAGCACATTGGAATATTCTTGATTTGCCTCCTCACAGCCCAAATAAACAATCTGGATTTATTTTCACCACATATTGATAAAATAATTAATGTTTCTCTTCTGTACGTGATGTAAAACTGAATTGTAGAATTTTAATATTTCACACTTCAGCTGGCAGCTCTGACAGAAAATGAAATGTGTAGTTCGTGCTTCATTAATTTAGTATTAATTTAGAATTTCTGTCCAAGATCTGAACTCATCCACACTACACTCATCTTTAAGACAGGGGTAAAATATTTTGGGTCAGGCTAAGAAATAAAAAAAACACAGTCAAAGATTCAGAAAATACAGCGGAAGAGTTAGCACAAAGATTTTTGCAATGCACAGAGTTAGCTGAACTAAACCTTCTAAATATCCTGGAATTAATTTGGGGGACATAAAAGTCAAAAAAAGACTCTGTAAAAAAAAGAGAAATTTCCAGGATTAACACTGAAAAACATCACGTGCAGGAGAGCCACAAGGCAGCTACAGAGAGGCTCCAGCACAGGGCACTGTTCTGACTTAAAAAATAAAAATATATTCATTAACTTGCAGCTCCTTAATTTCCATTCCCTCACAACCTGAAAGGTCGTCAGAGTTAATTACTCTGGAAATGCCATCACTGAACGTGTTTCAGCCCCTAAATTGACAGAAAAGCAATTTAAGGAGAATTTGGGACAATTTATCACTATTTTATTTTCAAAATGAGCACTCTAAAAAGGCTGCAGGGGTGGTTTCAGCCCCAGAAGTGGCAGAAAAGCAATTTAAAGAGAATTTGGGACAATTTCTCACTATTTTATTTTTATTTAAGGAGAATTTGGGACAATTCCCCACTTTTTTTAAATTCTGAGTAAATCCTGTGGCAACATGAGCACTCCAAAAATGCTAAAGGAGTGGTTTCAGCCCCAAAAGTGACAGAAAAGGAATTTAAAGAGAATTTATGACAATTTATCACTATTTTGGTTTCAAAATGAGCACTCCAAAAAGGCTGCAGGGGTGGTTTCACTCCAAGCAGTGACAGAAAAGGAATTTAAGGAGAATTTGGGACAATTTATCACTATTTTATTTTTCATTTAAGGAGAATTTGGGACAAATCGCCACTTTTTTTTTAATCTGTGAGTAAATCATATGGATTCTCCCCCTTTCCATTTTTGAGGGCCTCAATTTCCATCCAAACTCGTAGAAATTAAAAAGAAATAACAACAAGAGTGAGTTTTTCTGGTGTTTTATTTCCTTTTTTTCACACTGTGCCACTCGAGTGCTCATTTTTCCATGGGATTTACTCAAATTAAAAAAAAAAGTGGAGAATTGTCCCAAATTCTCCTTAAATAAAATAAAATAGTGATAAATTGTCCCAAATTCTCCTTAGATTCCTTCTAGGACTGAAACCACTTCTGCCTTTTTGGAGTTCTCATTTTGCTCTCTGGAAAACACTTGAGGAAAAACCCTCGTGGCTCTTTTACAATATTAAATATTATAAATATTTAAATATTCCATGGTTCTGAGGAAAAAAAAATTAAGTTTTTCACCTCCCTACAGGCGGCTTTGGTAAAATCTTACAGCGGACTGACCTCACAGCCACCTAATGGTTTTAAAAATATTTTTAAGTGCTTTTTTTCGCAGCCAATTCCCTGAATCCGCTCCCACCCACCCACCTTGTCCGCCGTGCTGGGCGCCGGCTTCAGCTTCCCTTTGGCCATCAGCATCGCGTTAATCTTCGCCGCCACCGCCGCGGCCGCATCCAGCGCCCCCGAGGGCGCCGCGGAGCTCTCGGACCCGGCCACGGCGGCGCCGCCATCGCCGCCCCCACCGGGGAACGGCCGCCCGGGCAGCGGCGCGGTAGCGGGGAGGAGGAAACTCGGAGCAGGGCCGGGCTGATCCCACTTGCTGCGGCGCCTGGAAAAGAGAGGAGGAAGGTGAGACGCTGCTCTGAGGGGCGGCGGGACCGCCCGAGCCGCCGCGGCCGCGCCTCACCCGCCCGCGGCCCCCGCGTCCCGCTGCGCTCCGCCGCCCGCCGACATGGCCGCCGCGGCTGCCGGCCGTCACTTCCGGTCCGCGCCGCCGCCGCTTCCGGCCGCTGCCATGGCGACGGCGCCGTCGCTTCCGGTTGTTGCCACGGGGCGCCGCCGAAAATCACCGAATTTAACCCGTTCCCCGCCTGAAAAACACGGGAAAAGTTTAATAAAGGAGACGAGGAGACAAAGATAATAAGGCGAAGGTTGTTATGGCTGAGTGCGTGTTGGGATTTAGCTAAAAACACACTTCCGGGATACCCTTTAAATACTTCTATTAGTTTGTTACATATTCAAAACTAGTGTCCCTTTAAATATTCCTTCTGTTATATTAGCTTGTTATATATTCATAAATGGTTATCCCTCTAAATACTTCTATTATATTAGCTTGTTATATGTTCATAACAATTATGCCTCTAAATACTTCTTTATTATATTAGCTTGTTATATATTCATAATGATTATCCCTTTAAATACTTCTGTTATATTAGTTTGTTATATACTCATAAACGGTTATTCCATTAAATACTTCTATTATATTAGTTTGTTACGTATTCAAAAGGATTGTCCCTTTAAATACTTCTATTATAGTAGCTTATTACATATTCATAAATGGTTAACCCTCTAAATACTTCTATTATATTAGTTTCTTACATATTCATAAACGATTATCCCTCTAAATACTTCTATTATATTAGTTTGTTATAAATTCATAAATGATTACCCCTCTAAATACTTCTATTATATTAGTTTGTTACATCTAAATAGTTATCCCTCTAAATACTTATTCTAGCTTGTTACATATTCATAAATGATTATTCCTTTAAATACTTCTTCTATTATATTAGTTTGTTATATATTTATAAATTATTATTCCTTTAAATACTTATATTAGTTTGCTACATATTAATAAACGGTTATCCTTCTAAATACTTATTCTAGTTTGTTACATATTCATAAATGATTATTCCTTTAAATATTTCTTCTATTATATTAGCTTGTTATATATTCATAACAATTGTCCCTTTAAATAATTCTATTATATTAGCTTGTTACATATTCATAAATGATTATTCATTTAAATACTTCTTCTATTATATTAGTTTGTTATATATTCATAAATGATTATTCCTCTGAATACTTCTATTATAGTAACTTGTTATATATATATAAATGGTTATCCCTCTAAATACTTTAATATATTAGTCTGTTATATATTCATAAGTTATTATTCCTTTAAATATTTATTCTATTATATTAGTTGACTACATATTAATAAAGTTATCCTTCGAAATACTTATTCTAGCTTGTTACATATTCATAAATCATTATTCCTTTAAATATTTATTCTATTAGCTTGTTATATATTCATAATGATTATCCCTTTAAATACTTGTTGCATTAGTTTGCTACATATTAATAAACAATTATCCCTCTAAATACTTCTATTATATTAGCTTGTTACATATTCATAAATGGTTATCCCATTAAATACTTCTTCTATTATGTTAGCTTGTTACATATTGGTGAAAAATGCAGATTTTATGATTGGCTTTTCGCAAATTTAAAATGAATATGATATGTGTAATGTGAGAAAGTTATGCTGTGTTAATTCTCTTTAGTGTGTTAAATCTAATTTTAGGTTCCAACATAATGTTTAAATACAGACTATGTATGTGGGGGAAATGTTTTTTTTTGTAGGAATGAGATACTTCGAGGAACACCTAAATCTTCTAAAGAAAAGGAATTTATGGATTTCTTATCAGAAAAAGTCAATTTCTTCACGCCTTGCTGAACAGAAGCCTTGGGGATTAAAGGAAACAGTTGACAAACAGACAAAATTCTTATTTTAAATAAAATACATGCATAACCATGAAGGATATTTTAATATATTGGCTTTTTTCACACTTATGTTCATTGGGTGTTACCCCATCCAAGCAGGCATTTCCCTATAATTAACAACAGAAATAAAAACTGTATCCTTGTGAAAAACACCAATTGCGTGGGTTTTCAAATTTTTGAAAGTTTAATAACAATAAAATGGTTATAAAAATAATAATACAATTAGAGTAATCAAGTTTAGAGTTAGGGCAATTACGAAACAATAAAAAGCAAAGAATTAGAAACTAAGTCACAAAAAGCATGACTTGTGAACAAAGGAATAACCTTAAAACCAACAACCTGTTATATATTCATAGATTCTTCATGGTTATGCATACATTTTATTTAAAATAAGAATTTTGTCTGCTGGATGTCAACTGTTTCCTTTAATTTCCATGGCGTCTTCAAGTTGAGCAAGGCCTGAAGAAATTAGCTTCTTATGATAAGAAATCCATAAATTCCTTTTCTTTGGAAGGTTTAGGTGTTCCTCGAAGTGAGTATTTAATTCCTAAAAAAAACCAAACAAAACTCCCCCCACATACATTTTAACATTATGCTGTAACTTAAAACTAGATTTAACATGCTACTTAAGAGAATTAATACAGCACAGCTTTCTAACATGACACATGTAATATTCATTGTTATACTTACGAAAAGCCAATCATAAAACATGCATTTTTCACAAGGGCCAAAGCTGAAATTAGGAAAAAAAAACCATTTATCATTCCCTCAGAGCCCAGAACATTCCACAAGGCCCGCAGCGCTCACGGCAGGGGCGGCGGCTGCGCATGCGCGGCGCTTTGGCGCCAAGCGAGGCCGAGCCCCGCCCCGCCCCGCGAAGTTTGCGCACGGCCCCTCGGCCGAGCCCGCTGAGGGCGAGGGCGGGAAAGGCGCCCTGAGGGTGAGGCCGGCATTTACCTTCCTTTATCTCGCTTCTCCTCACATTCTCCTCCAGTTTTTCCTCCCTTATCTCTCAACTCGCTTCACTTCTGAGTTTCGTCGCCCGCAGCCCTCGTGGAAGGGGCGGTAGCTGCGCATGGGCGCGCGCCAAGCGAGGCCGAGCCCCGCCCCCTCGGCTTTTGCGCACGGCCCCTCAGCGGCGCGCGCTGAGGGCGAGGGCGGGAAAAGCGCCCTGAGGGTGAGGGCGACGTTTACCTTCCTTCATCTCCTTTCCTTTATCTCGCTTCTCCTCACATTCTCCTCCAGTGTTTCCTCCCTTATCTTTCACGCACACCTCACGGTTTTTGTCGCCCGCCGCCCCGCGTCGCGTCTTCGCGCTTTCCTCCTCCGCTTGCCTCAGTTTCCCCTTGAGGAAGCAGGTGATGGATTCTGCGCTGAGGGGGGTGGGGGATGATGCCGTGTGTGGAGGATCGGTGAGGGGAGCTCGGTGCCCTCGGTGATCCGCACTTCGTTTCTAACTTGGGAAAGGTGTTTTCCTCAGGCGTGGGTGCGTTTGATATTCCTGATGTGAAAAATGCAGATTTTATGATCGGCTTTTCGCAAGCATTACAATGACTATTATATGTGTAATAGTTGTGGTGTGTTAATTCTCTTAAGTAATGTGTTAAATGTAATTTTAGATTCCAACATAATGTTAAAATAGAGACTATGTGGGCGGAGTTTTTTTTTTTTTTAGGATGAGATACTCGCTTGGAGGAACACCTAAATCTTCCAAAGGAGAGTGTTTTTCATATTTTATGATTGGCTTTTTTGCAGATATTACAATTAATATTATAGGTGTAATGTTAGAAAATGATGCTGTATTAATTCACTTAAGTAGCGCAATAAATAGAATTTTAGGTTACAACATAATGTTGAAATAGAGACTATGTATGTGGGCAGAGTTTTTTTTTTTTTAGGATGAGATACTCGCTGCGAGGAACACCTAAATCTTCGAAAGGAGAATGGGAAAAATACAGATTTTATGATTGGCTTTTTGCAAATATTACGATGAACATGATATGTGTGATGTTAGAAAGTTACGCTGTATTGATTATCTTAAGTAGTGTGTTAAATATAGTTTTAAGTTCCAACATAATGTTAAAATAGAGACTATGTATGTGGTGGGAGTTTTTTTTAGGAATGAGATACTGGCTTTGAGGAACACCTAAATCCAAAGAAAAGGAATTTATGGCTCCTTATCAGAAGAAACAAATTCCTTCAGGCCTTGCTCAGACTCAAAGGGGATTAAAGGAAACAGCTGACATACAACAGAGGGAGTTCTTATTTTAAATAGAATATATGCATAACCATGAAGGATATATGAACATGCAACAGGCTGTTGTTTTTAAGGTTATTCCTTTTTTCACAAGGGATGCTTTTCATGACTTAATGTCTGAGAGCATCTGGACATCCCTAATTCTTTGCTTTTTATTGTTCTGTAATTATCCTAACTCTAAACTTGATTACTCTAATTGTGCTACTATTTTTTATAACCGTTTTATTATTATTAAACTTTTAAAAGTTTGAAAAACCAAGTGATTGGTGTTTTTCACGCTGAGTTGGTGGAAAGGCTTTTGTGGAGTCAGGGTGGTGAGGGTTCTGTTTGTCCCATACTCATTTAAATTACAGAAGAAAACAAATCTGGAGGTGTTTGAAATGTGGGGAGCCTTTTCATGAGGTCCTTTAAAAATCCCATAGGTTGACGAGAGCTGTCTTTAGAGGTTCATATTTCATAAAAATACAGATATAAATGTGCTGATTATTGCATCCTGTAGCCTCAGGGGAGGCCTGTGCTGCTGTGAAAACCAAGGATGTGACGCTGGGGATGATCAGAGGAGCTGAACTGCTCTGTTTCCTGAAAAACACAGGTTTGTTTGAGCTGGCACGAGGTGTTTGTAAATCCAGGGAACGCCCTTTTTTATTTTTTCCTTATCCAGGTGCTAATGCAGGTGTTTCGTTGACAGGCACGGGAGTCTCTGCAGGATGGCAACTGCTCAGAAGCAAAGGAGTTCGGTGGTACGGTTTTGTTTTTTGTGTATTTCAGCACAATCGTGGGGGAAAATGAGGGAATTTTAGCTGGAGCAGTGCACCCAGGTGCTCTGTGGTATTTTTTAATGTGAAAATAGCAGGTTAATTCAGTCTTTTAATTACAAATGAAGAACAGATAGCAAAAAAAAAATTACTTAAAAATGACATGAACTTTGTTGTTGTAGAAACTGTGTCCTACAAATACTGTAACACCAAGTGTAAGGAACGTGCTTAGCTTTATAAATCATACAATTGCATTGGTTTCTTGCTGGGATTTCCAGAGTGCAGTTGTATTTCCCAAGAAAATAGCCACGGAGCAGCAATCCCTGATGCTGGTGAAGAGGCTCCTGGCAGTGGCAGTGTCCTGCATCACGTACCTGAGGGGAATCTTCCCTGAGAGTGCCTATGGAACCAGATACATGGATGGTAAGGGGCTGTTTCCATGAAAATCTGCAAATAAACTGGGTTTTTTTGTTGTTTTTAAAGCCACTTGGTCTTTTTAATGAATGGATGCCATTTCGGTGCATGTAAAGGAAATTTCACTTCTGAATTAATTACATTTTTTAAATATTTTGTTAATAATTCTGGTAATATCATTGCTGCTAACTCAGCATTAAAACTATGCTCACGCTTGTCAATTGTCAAAATATTAATTTTAGTCTGTGAAAAATGAATATTTTGTGATTGGCTTTTTGCAAATATCACAATAAATATTATATGTGTAATGTTACAAAGTTATGCTGTATTAATTCTCTTAATTAGTGTGTTAAATCTAGTTTTAAGTTCCGACATAATGTTAAAATAGAAACTATGTACGTAAAAAGAGGGGCTTTTTTTAAGAATAAAATACTTCAAAAAACACCTAAATCTTCCAAAGGAGAAGAATTTATGGCTTCTTATCAGAAAAGCTAATTTCTTCAAGCCTTACTCAAAGACACCATAAAAATTAATGGAAATGGTTAACATACAACAAACAAAGTTTCTTATTTTAATTAAATATACATAGCCATGAGAATATATAAATATACAACAAGTATATTATTTTAGGAGTAATTCCTTTATTGACAAAGGATGCTTGTCATGACTATATATATATATTATTTTAAAAGTATATATAATATAAAATATTATATATAAACTATAATACAAAATATTATTTTAAGAGTAATTCCTTTGTTCACAAAGTATGCTTTCTCATAACTTAATGTCCAAGAACACCCAAACATCCATAATTCTTTGCTTTTTATTGTCTTATAATACTCCTAGCTCTAATATTACTGTAATTGTATTACTATTTTTACAACCATTTTATTATTATTAAAATTTAAAATTTGAAAAACCAAGTCATTAACTTTTCTCACAAGTCTCTTCTTGATATGTACTTTTAGGCAATGAACTTTTCGTTGTACTTTGTCCTAAGTAAATGTGTGTGTGTTTTTGTTAGGTTTTTTTGGGTGTTTTTTTTTTTTTTTTTTTTTTTTNTTGTTTGTTTGTTTGTTTGTTTATTTGTGGTTTTTTTGGGTTTTTTTGAGACGTCTGTGTCAAAATTCTGCGGGAAGACAAAACCTGTCCTGGCTCTACCCAGCTGGTGAAATGGTAGGTTGATTCCAGCACACAGGTAACGCTTCCTCAGCACGTGAGTGCTCAAAGGTTCCTGGTTTTATTTCCACTAAAAGGCAAAAATTTCCCTCCTACATTTGTTTCCCAGATGCAACATTGATGTTTCCACAAAGGTTTTCAGCTCAGGGCTTAGCAGAGCACAAATCTCTTTTTGCAAAGTGAATATATTTTATATTTACTAAATAAATAATAAATATCTAACACTACATATTTGTATATTTCATTTTTCTGGGTGCTCAAGAGTGCACAGAAGTACAAAAGTCTAACCAGTAATTCCTCTTTTTTTTCCCTCTTTTTTTCCCTCTTTTTTTTTTCCCTCTTTTTTTTTTCCCTCTTTTTTTTTCCCCTCTTTTTTTTGCCCCTCTTTTTTTCCCCCTCTTTTTTTGCCCCTCTTTTTTTGCCCCTCTTTTTTTGCCCCTCTTTTTTTGCCCCTCTTTTTTTCCCCCTAATGAATACATATGTTGTGAAATGCTTGAAGCATTGCAATATGTTTTTACTGATAAATGATTTACCTACAGATTATATTTTAATTATTCTTTCAAGAGGTTGAGGTGATTTGACGTTACAAGGAGAATCATTGCTTGTATCACTGCTAATACGAGAATGATGGAATCAGTGTTATTTATTGCTCTAATACATTAAGAATAAACACAAGAGTTTCATTTTTTTGGTGCTATTTGATTTAATGAGAAACGAGTGAAAATTAGCAGTAGATGGCAAATATAATTTGGTTTTTGCAGGTTGTTAGGATGCTACGATGCCTTGCAGAAGAAATACGTAAGTCCTCCAGTCCCATTTCAGTCATGTTGAAATGTTTGTTTATCTGCCAGTGCAGTTGTAGGGCTGCTCAGGGAGTAGCTGAGCTCTCTCAGCTGCAGTGTGGGATGCACAGGCATTTCTGCATCAAATTCTTGGAAGCAGCAGCACAGAAAGATCTGGGGGTGTTTTTTTCTGCAGCTGAATCCTCTCCTCCACAAAATAGGAGTGAAGAGGAAGATTCTCTTCCAACAGGCTTTAGTTGCCTGTGTTGGATTCCAGAGCTAGAGACAAAACAGCACAAATGGGCAATTAAATATATTTAATGTTCTTTTTTTTTTTTTTTTCCCCCTCTGTTTGTGTTCCTGCCAGCTGAGACAGATTGTCCTAGCAGTGAGTATCTCTGAAAGGCAGGGACATGTTTTTAGGGGACATTTTTTGAGGGATGTGCAGTTCTCATTCCGATTCCTCTATTTTCTTTAAAAATGCAGGTCTATACCCAGACAGAAGATCCTCAGGTAAATCTGCACGAATATCTCACCGATGATAATATGGATATAGTGAAATTTGTGTACCAGCAGGAATATTTAAATAAAAAAAGGGCATTTTGAAATACCAGGTGCAAAAATGACTGAAGTCAGTGGGATTTACCATGTGTGAAATTCCATTTGAGTGTTCTCAGTCTGTGCAAAAAACCAAAATGTCATTGCAGAGTGAGATCCTGACTCTGCCTAACAATTTTATGGGGCTTTTGTGGAAAACACAAAACCCACTGGGTGTCACCACATCTATTCCACGTGTGAAGCATTTTCCTAGCGATTGAAACCAGAATATTTTGTGCTAAAAACTTCAGCTGATTTTCAAAATACTTCATCGTGGTGATTCCTGGAAAAGAATCATCATTATTATTATGCTTTAAAGAGTTTTTTATGTTTTTACTGTGAATTGTTCGAGGATTAGGAGCCTGTATTTGGCACGTGGGAGTTGGGCTGTGGTTATTTCCTTTAAAGGTTAATGGATTACTGAGCAGAGCTGCAGCAGGAATGTTTAGGATTAATAATTAGTTTAATCGTTACTGGCTTTGTTTGCAGACAGTCACAGAGTGTTACCACTTCAAGTTCAAGTACACCCACGATGGGCCACTCCTGGATTTTGGCAGGTACAGCCCCTGGGACTGTTCCACGTCCCTTGGACACACCTGAATGTCACAGCCCTGCATTTGATGTGTTTGCTTTTTAAATTCTGCATCTTGAGACTAATTTCATCAACATACACTCCTGGCTTAGCTGTACTAAAATACAACTGATCATTTTGATAATGCTCATATTTTAATATCCACTCAGAAGATGATGCTCAATGTTAGTCTGATACTCTGTGAGGATACTTGAGATGTTTTATGTGTAGGGAGTGAAGCTTCACATCAGATTACTTCACATCAGTATCTGAAGGTACTGAATGTTACATGGAATTCCTCATTTAGCAGAAATAAGAGAAAATACAGCAAAAACACAATAGAAATGTAAATTGTGATACACAGCTCGGTCATGGTGGAATTCCCATTGCTGAGGTGAGGACACAGGGCACCCCTGGCCTTTTAAGCACTGTGTGGTAGGATAGAGCAGTTGGTGCCAGGTGCTGATCCTGGCACCAGGATTAATTTAATGGATTTACCTCCAGATTGTGTTTTTAATTATTCTTTCAAGAGGTTGGGGTAAACCCTCCTGGTGTCCCTGGCTCAGGGTTTGATCTCCCAAAGAGATCAGCCAACAAGCAGGGGTAGGAATTGCAGTGTTCAGTCTCAGGCAACAAGCAGGATGCTTCTCACCTTCGTAATTGTTAACAGACAGACTTTGGAAACGTGGATCAGACAGAATGTGAGTGCTGTGTGTGTTTTTAGCAAGGACAGGAAGTCAGACTCCACCATCAGCTGTGCAGACACCAAGAAGGCCAGCATCCTCCTCATCCGCAAGATCTACATCCTGATGCAGAACCTCAGCCCCCTGCCCAACGACGTCTGCCTCACCATGAAACTGCTCTACTACGATGAGGGTACGCTGCCCTGCCCCCTGGTTTGTTCAGCTCTGCAGAGCAGTCCAAAGGAGTGTTTAATGAATAATCCTTGTGGCTGTTCAGGGAGGTTAGTTCACCTGTGGCTGTTTCCCAGGACAGAGGGATGTGATCTCCCTGCAGGAGCACAATCCTGGCACTGATGTGGTTGGGTTTGGCTGGGTGCCGGAGCTCACCTTTCCATGTGGTGGAAAAATTCCTCTTCTAACTTGTGCTTGTAAAAAAAAGGCTTAGAAGTTTTCTGGTGTTCAGTCTCAAGGCAGTTTATTGCAAGTTATCTAAAAGATTTTCTCCTTGGGCTGCTGTGGTTTGCTCACAGCTCAGGCAGAGGCACACACACACCCTGACATCCTCTCTGACCCCAACTGCTTCTTCTCTCCCCACCCAGGGCTGCTGCTCTCTTTTATATGGTACATTACGTGTTACATGTTTATAGTTTTTTCCCAATGCCTATTACCTATATTAAATGGTGCTTTTCTATCTTTTATATGGTACATTACATGTTACATGTTCACAGTTTTCCCCAATGCCTATTACCTATATTAAATGGTGCTTTTCCACTCTAAACCAATCTGAGTGCCAACATCACCAAGAACATGGAGGTGAGGAAGGAGAGAGATTTGAGCCTGTCCTATTCTCCCTCTATCTTAAAACTACTGACCCCCATGTACAAAACAAAAACCACCCTGTACAGCACTCAAAAATTCTTTACTTTGTGACTACTTCTACTATAATACCTAAATTTTGTGAGTTCTTCTTCTTCCTGCAAGGTTGGTAAATTATTCATGGTTCAAACCCAAAATCACAGCTGCTTCCAGCTGCCTGCCAGGGTCTCAAATGCTTCTGACCTGGGCCCGGAACCTCCAAAAATGTCTGAGGGACATTTTGAGTTCCCACAGCTGGGTTTTAAAACATTTGGAGTTTCCCAGAGTGTGTCAGAATTTCCCAGCCTGGTTTGATGACTGTCCAAATACTTGGCTCTGCTTTCTGAGTGTGTTCCTGCCTTACAATGACAAATCAGAGCTTCTATTTTTTATATCTACAACCTCTTCCAGAGAGCTTTAACAGGGCTTTAATAGAGACTTTAAAGAGACTGAATATTGATTACTCCCCTCCCCACACACAGGTTTGTTCGTGTTTTTTTTTTTTTGCAGTAACTCTATTTAAAGGGGAAAAGAGTTAAAATGAGTTTTTAAGGACATATTTCCCTCTAACACATTTAATTTCTCTGTAGTTACACCCCCTGATTACCAACCTCCAGGGTTCAAGGAGGCCAAGGACGAGGGGCTGCTGTTCAAGGAGGAGCCCATGTACCTGAACGTGGGGGAAGTGCCAACACCTTTTCACCTGCTGAAGCTGAAAATCACAACTGAGAAACAGCGCATGGAGAATGTTGATAAGAGCATCCTAAAGCAGGGGGAGACTGCTGAGCCTCTGCAGGTGGCAAAAGAAGAGAGCCAGGACATGGATGTAAGAGCACAGAATTTGTTTTGGGTAGCTTTTTGAATTTTTTGGTGGTGTGGCATCTAGAAAAAGCCCATTATTATTTCACTGTGTGTAAGCCATAACCCCCTTTATATTCAGGACAATGTGTCTTTAATCCATTTTTTCCTTAATTTTACTGCTCCAGTTTGCAGCCTGTTCAAGCAGGGTGAGCAGCAGAGGGACACAGGTGGAACCTCACAGTCCCGTGTCACAATCACTTATTTCAGTTTATTCCACCACAAATCCATCTAATTATTGTGTCCTCAATCATCTCAGTAGAAACCTTCTTCCTTGTGTGTCTGCTGTAAGTGACAGACTTGTTCCTTAATCTAGGAGGATCCTGGCTTGGATAACGAAGTGGAAGATAAGAATAATGTGAATATTTCAGAAGCTCAAGGTAATATTTGTGTATATAATTCAATATTATATTTTGTAATGTATATTTGTATATATTATATATTTTTGGTAATATATATTTGTATATATATTTCCATATTATATTTTTATTTTATGTTTTATTATAATTTTATATTATCTATTATATTATTCAAGCCCTCGGTTTTCTATATTCAAATATCTATTATTTCCTTCACATATATGACTGTGCCTTTGTTTTCTATCACAGCTTCATTCTGTGAAGCCCTTGGTTAACAAATTTAAACACATTAAAACATCATTAACATATTTTCATGTTGCTGTTCAAAATTCTGATCTTCTGTTCCATTTTATCAGATAAGCTAAATGGAATGGGATTTATATTTAGAAATAAATCTTATTTGCTGCTCTGGCCACCTGTGCCAGGGCCTCCCATCCTCACAGGGAATAAATCTTTCCCAATATCTGTCAGGACAAAGCCATTCCTGTCCCTCCAAAGCCCCTCTCCAGCTCTCCTGGAGCTCCTTTAGGTGCTGGAAGGAGCTCTGAGCTCTCCTTGGGGCCTTTTCTTCTGCAGGCTGAGCACCCCCAACCCTCTCATCCTTTCCTCCTAGAGGAACTTTAATAAATACAAGTCCTATCAAAGTATTTTTGTTAGTATGAATCACACAACAATGAATTTCCTCAAGTGTTTTTCCTAACGCTGTCAATAAAATCTGACAGCAAATAACTCCTCCAGCCCTGGGAACTCCCCACTGCTGGCTTTTCATCAGAGCAACAAAAAATGTGAACCCAAAGTGTCTCCAGCACAAAACATGAGACACTCCAAGGGATCCATGAGGCCCTCGGGGATCTCAGGAGTTTCCTTTTCAGATTTTAGATAAAACAGAGGATGGTTTGTGTTCACATTTCCCTTCAGGCCCCTGAAGACTGAACTTTGCTGCCAAACAAACTGAAGAAGGAATTGCTGCTTGTTGATCTGCTCCTCTTGGAGAGGCTGGATAGAAGCACCCAGACAATCTGGAACCCATTTGCTGTACAGAAAGCATTTCAAATGTTGGGTTTGGGTTTTTTTTCTGGTGCAGCTTTGCCAAACCATCTGCCATTTCCATGCTGTTCAAAAAATAATGGTGGAAATGTGTAGGAAACAACACACGTAGATGAGAACTTTTGTCTTGACAATGCTGGTAGGCTGCAGAACTGGAATAACCACATGAAGGTGTGTCTGATTCTTCTAAAAAAATAATAAAAGTTCCAAAACCATGCGGAAATGCATAAAATTTCTTGCCCTAGGGAGTTGGCAAGTGTTTTATTTACAGGGAAACCCATCTGTCAGCGTGGAATTCTTTTGTTGTTTCCACAGTCACACATTCACCGTTCCACACTTCTATCCTAGAAGAGCAGCATGAATTAGGAACAGCCAAAAACTACCAGGAACTGCTAAAACCCCCTGAGAACCTGTTCTGCAGCTGCAGGCAGTGCTGGGGGCTCTGCAGCTGGAATTGCTGCTGGCCCAGGGTGGCTTTTCCCTGTCCTGCAGCTCCTGAGGCTCCAGGTTGAGTCCAATCCCTCCAGCAGGGCAGTGAGGGAGGGAGCTGGGGGTCAAACCCTCTTCATGGATCCTGTGTGCGAGCTGGAGCTTGGGTAGGAAGTGGCTGACTTCAATAAATTAAAGTTTGATGGAGTTAAGGATGAGAACTGCAGTCTACAACCTGTTGTAAAGTGTTCGCCGGGGCAGAGCTGGTGTTAACACCTTTATTTGTTTTGTTATTAACACTTTATTTAACTATCCAATGTTTCCTTCTTTCAGAAAAGAATTCAGCTGATGAAGAGGAAGCTGGAGGGCTCCAGACTCCCCTCAATGTTTCCAATCCTCAGGTAGGAACTTTGCCCTGTCATCTTCAGCTTCACTGGAGCTCCTTCCCTCCTCTGAATAACCTTAAAGCCTTATTTCCCCCAGTCACTATTTCCAGCAGCAAAATTCCTTTACATTTCACTTCCTGGTGTTTTCCAGAACCATTCTAAAGCACTGACAAAAGGCTGTTCCTCTGGAATAACAGCTCTCAAAACAAACCAGATGCTGTGACTGTTCCTGAGTGAAAAGGGGAATGGAATTTCCATGTTAATAAACTGCCTGATGGGAATTCCACTGCTCATTCTGACAAACCAAAGCTTGTTGAAAAGTTGATTCAAACTTAAAAAATTCAAGTTGGTAACTCAGGTTATATCCCCTGCATGTAGAAATCGGTGGGATTTATACATGGAGGGCTGCTTCACACAGGTCTCTAATAAAGATTTCTTAAAACATGATAGCTGTAGGTGAGTGATTTTCTGTGTAAAACCAGCACATGCACACCCAGCTGTAAAAGCTGTGATTTCCATGGCTTATCACCATTTAAAAACCCCAAAATTTCAGTTTTGAACAGCGAATTCCCCAGCACTGAGCCCTGCTGTGCTCTCCAGTGTGTATTTTTTGCAAAATCTATTTTCTGATTCCAGGTTGATCATTTGACCCGTAAAACATCTGAGCTGATTGTGTCAGAGAGCAGGACAAGAAGTGGGAAGATATTCCAAAGCTGCATTGTTAGTATCAGTTTTTCTTTAGTTCTCATCATTTCTGTTCCAAACAGTGAATAAAACTCAGAGCTTGAATGCATTTGCTATTGACAGAATGAAATTCTCATCACTCCCTAAATTCCCATTCAATTCAACACTGCCAAAAAGAATTCTGTCCCAAAGAGTTGGAAGCTGACTCGATGCAGGTAACAAAATTCCTTAGTTTTAGATGATATTTAGCCAAATTTCCTGCAGGTTTGATCCATCAGCCAGGGGAGTTGGTGCCAGCAGAGATGCCCAGAACTCACCCAGTGCTTCTTTGTGCTTCTACTTGGGAAACACTAGGCCAAAATTAAAACCTCACCTTTGTGACTCCTTCATTCCTAGAAAAATCCCTTTTTATTTGTTTAACCAGGTCAGTCTGGCAGGCAGTGCTGCTTGTGGGGACCCAAATCCTTCCCACCTGGGACAGCTGGAGCAGAGGTTGTGTCCAGGCTGGAATTTGGGCCCCGTGTCTGTGCTGCTCCTTGGCATCTGCAGCTCTGGGAGGTTTTGGGGGGCTTTTGCCACGTGTTGGGAATGCTGAGTGAGGACAAACCCTTCCCTAAAACCTGTGGGGATGAATTTCTGCCGGGAAATAGCATCCAGATGTTCCTGCAGGCGCTGCACATCTGGACAGGGACTGGGGCGAGGCTCTGGCTGTGTCCCCCCTCTGTCCTGGCCCCAGGAGCTGCTGGAATTCCGGGTGTAATTCCGGGTGTAATTCCATCTGTTGGTTTTCCTTGGCAGGTGCACCAGGCTGAGCTCTCCTCCAGCCAGGAGGTGCTGCCCAAAAGGAGGAAGCTCAGCGAGCCCAAGGAACAGTTTTAGTTGCCCAAAAGGAGGAAGCCCAAGGAACAATTTCAGTTGCCCAAAAGGAGGAAGCCCAAGGAACAGTTTTAGTTGCCCAAAAAGAGCAAGCTTAATGAGCCCAAGGAACAGTTTTAGTTGCCCAAAAGGAGGAAGCTCAACAAGCCCAAGGAACAATTTCAGTTGCCCAAAAGGAGGAGGAAGCTCAGGAAACAATTTTAGTTGCCCAAAAGGAGGAATCTCAACAAGCCCAAGGAGCAGATTTGGTTGCCCAAAAGGAGGAACCTCAAGGAACAATTTTAGTTGCCCAAAAGGAGGAAGCCCAAGGAACAATTTCAGTTGCCCAAAAAGAGGAATCTCAACAAGCCCAAGGAACAGTTTTAGTTGCCCAAAAGGAGGAAGCTCAGCAAGCCCAAGGAACAGTTTTAGTTGCCCAAAAGGAGGAAGCTCAGCGAGCCCAAGGAACACTTTTAGTTGCCCAAAAGGAGGAAGCTCAGCGAGCCCAAGGAACAGTTTTAGTTGCCCAAAAGGAGGAAGCTCAGCGAGCCCAAGGAACAGTTTTAGTTGCCCAAAAGGAGGAAGCTCAGCGAGCCCAAGGAACACTTTTAGTTGCCCATCTCCTGCTGTCCCAAGTTCTCCACTCCTGTTTGTTTTTCCACAACTCTGTTGGGTTTGAAGGATCTGTTCTGCTCATGGCAATGTGTTTGAAGGAAGGAAAACGTCCAAAAGCCCAGCTGAAGGACTCCAAACTCACTTTCTACAAGGGCCATCAGGCAGGATCAGAAATCCTTGGATTTGGGGGTTTGTTGGGTTGGCTGCAGGTCCTGATGGTGCTGGAGGAAATCCATCCCCCCAGCACAAGGTTTCACCAGTGCCTCTGGTTCTGAGCTGCCTGCCCCAAAACCTCTCCAGTTTTGGGGTGATTTCCAGAGGGCTGGGCTGTGTTACAGTTTGCACGTTACAGTTTTTGCTTTTCCTACGGGGACAGTTGGAGGAGGAGTTGGATGCTTTGCATGTTTTCCACTCTCAGGTGAAGAACAAACCCTCTTCGTGCCTTAAATTCCAGCCTCCGTGCCGGGAGGAGCCGCGTGTTCCGAGGTGTCCCCGGAACGATTCGCGGCACGGGTGGGACGGGCCCGTTCCCACCGGGGACAGCGGAACGTTGCGCGACGGGTTTGGCTTGGAAATGAACAAAATCCGTTCGTCACCGGGCTCTGTTACACGGCGTTCGGTTTGGGCGGCAGCGTGCCGCGGTACCGGGACGGGGAGAGGACGGGAGCGGGATGGGGAGATGGGAACGGGGCACGGGACTGGAGCGGGAACGGGACACGGGACAGGACGGGAACGGGACACGGGATGGGACATGGGACAGGACGGGAACGGGATGGGGAGATGGGAACGGGACACGGGACAGGACGGGAACGGGACACGGGATGGGGAGATGGGAACGGGACACGGGACAGGACGGGAACGGGATGGGGAGATGGGAACGGGACACGGGACGGGACGGGAACGGGAATGGGACACAGGACGGGACTAGAGCGGGAATGGGACACAGGACGGGACTAGAGCGGGAATGGGATACGGGACAGGACGGGAGCGGGATGGGGAGACGGGAACGGAGCAGGAACGGGACATGGGACAGGACGGGAACGGGACGGGAACGGGATGGGGAGATGGGAACGGGACACGGGACGGGACTAGAGCGGGACACGGGATGGGACACGGGACGGGACTGGAGCGGGAACGGGACACAGGACAGGACGGGAACGGGATGGGGAGACGGGAACGGAGCAGGAACGGGACTGGGAGTGGGATGGGACATGGGACAGGACCGGGAGTGGGATGGGACTGGAGCGGGAACGGGACAGGACGGGAATGGGATGGGACACGGGACAAGACGGGAATTAAAGGGGACGAGTGGGAAAGGGACGGGACACGGGACAGGACGGGAACGGGATGGGACCAGCCAGAAAGGGACACGGGACACGGGACAGGACCGGGAGGGGGATGGGACCAGCGGGAAAGGGACGGGACTGGAGCGGGAACGGGACACGGGACAGGGCGAGAACAAGAACGGAATTGGAATTGGACTCGGAATGGGACACGGGACTGCAGCCGGGGACAGGAACGGGACACGGGACTGGAGCAGGACAGGGAGGGGATGGGACAGGGGACAGGACAAGGAACGGGACTAGAACCGGAACGGGATAAGGAACGGGACAAGACCCGGAACCGGACACGGGACCGGACCCGGAACGGGACAAGACCCGGAACCGGACACCGGACCGGACCCGGAACGGGAGCGCGACACGACACGCGGGCGGGGGCGGGGCCACGCGCTGACTGGCAGGCGGCAGTCCCGCCCTCCGGCCCATGCCGGCCGCGCTCATTGGCTGCTCCGCGCGGCGCGGGCTGCCATTGGCCGGGGCGCGGCGGGGGCGGGGCCCGGAAGCGGCGGCGGCGGCGCGGGGCTTTTCCTGCCCGCGGCCGCGGAGCCGAGCGCGGCGGGCGGAGCCGCGGTGAGCCCGGGCTGCCTTGGCGGCCCCCAGGGCTCGGGGGCAGCGGGGCGAGGCTGCACCCGCGGGCCGGGAGGGTGGGGTGCACCGGGCCGGCACCGGCACCGGCACCGGCACCGGGAGGGGTGGGATGGAGCCCCGGGGGTGAGGCAGAACCGGGCCGGGGTTTGGAGGCGGAGCGGGGGTCGCTGCCGGTGGGACGGGACCGTCCCGGGCCGCTGGCGGGGGTGCGGGACCCGGCCGTGCGGCCTCACGGGCTCTTCCCCGAGGGGTAATTGAAAATTGTTTTAAAATTGAGAAATGGAGGCATTTGTAGCGCGGTGTGGTTCGAGGTGATGGGCCAAAAATCGCTCCACAAGCTGGGAGTGCCGCCGTGGGGAGGGGGAGAGGGAAGCCCTGGGGTAGGAGGGGTGAGAGCCCCCGGATTTGGGTCTGGGGGTTTGGGTTTGGTTTGGGTAAGGTTTGGGTTTGGGGGATTGGGTTTGGGGCTGGGGGCTGGGGTTTGGGTCTGGTTTGGGTTTGGGGGCTCAGGTTTGGGTCAGGTTTGGGTTTGGATTTGGGGGATAAATGGTTTGGGGCTGGGGCTGGGGGTGTGGGTTCGTTTGGGTTTGGGGCTCAGGTTTGGGTCTGGGGGCTGGGGTTTGGGTCTGGTTTGGGTCTGGGGCTGGGGGTTTGGGTCTGGTTTGGGGGTTTGGGTTGGGTTTGGGGCTCTGGTTTGGGTCTGGGGGTAGGGTTTGGGGCCTGGGGCTCTGGTTTGGCTCAGGTTTGGGTCTGGGGGTCTGGTTTGCATCTGGTCTGGGGGCTGGGGTTTGGGTCTGGGGACTTGGGTTTGGGTCTGGGGTTTGGGTTGGGTTTGGGGCTCTGGTGTGGATCTGGGGGCTGGGGTTTGGCTCTGGCTGACTCTGGGGGCTCGGGGTTGGGTTGGGTTTGGGGCTCAGGTTTGGGTTTGGGGGCTCAGGTTTGGGTTTGGGGGCTGGGGTTTGGCTCTGGGGCTCAGGTTTCGCTCAGGTTCGGCTCTGGCTGCCTCTGGGGCTCAGGTTTGGCTCAGGTTTGGCTCGGGTTGGCTCTGGGGGCTCAGGTTTGGGTTTGGGGCTCTGGCTGACTCTGGGGGCTCGGGGTTGGGTTGGGTTTGGGGCTCAGGTTTGGGTTTGGGGGCTCAGGTTCGGCTCAGGTTCGGCTCTGGGGCTCAGGTTTGGCTCTGGCTGCCTCTGGGGCTCAGGTTTGGCTCTGGCTGCCTCTGGGGCTCAGGTCTGGCTCTGGGGCTCAGGTCTGGCTCAGGTCTGGCTCAGGTCTGGCTCAGGTCTGGCTCAGGTCTGGCTCAGCTCTGGGGCTCAGGTCTGGCTCAGGTCTGGCCCAGGTCTGGCTCAGGTCTGGCTCTGGGGCTCAGCACCGTGCCCGTGGCCCAGATGACGACGCTGACGCACCGGGGCCGGCGGGCCGAGGGCCGCGGCGCCGACAGGAGGCCGGAGGAGGAGGAGGAGGAGGCCGGGGAGCCCGGCCAGGAGCAGCCCGAGGACTCCAAGGACATGCGGCTCACCCTGATGGAGGAGGTGCTGCTCCTGGGGCTGAAGGACAAGGAGGTGAGGCGGGTTCTCAGAACGGACGGGATCTGCTCGGGGTCCAGGGTGGGCTGGGGGCTCGAGTTCAGAGTGAGGGGCTGGGGGCTCTGAGTTCAGAGTGAGGGGCTGGGGGCACCAAATTCAGAGTGAGGGGCTGGGGGCTCTGAGTTCAGAGTGAGGGGCTGGGGGCACCAAATTCAGAGTGAGGGGCTGGGGGCTCCAAATTCAG